CTTTTTCTCGACTAATTTGGTCTAGGCCTATATTACTTTTGTATTGCTTTTGTATATTAACATGCTTTAGACATATTTTATTTGTTATTTATACTAGTAGCCTATTGTGATGATTTTTCACGACCCAGATTTTTTGGTGCCCCCCCAAGCACTTGGTGCCCTACGCGCAGCGCGTGATGTGCGTGTGCGGAGCGCCGGCCCTGAGATACAATATAATGAGATGAAGTAGATTCACTGCTGTATTGTGATATACTCAGAGCCGGATTATCCATAAGGGCACTTGGGCCAGTGCCCAGGGGCACCAACCATTCACAACCACTAGGGGGGCACCACATGAGTCAAGCTTTAAAAATATTTTTCGTAAATTGTTATATTATTAACTTGAAATTCTTGACAGACCATAAATAAATCGTTTATGAACACTAATTTAACAATAATAATAACAATAATGATTTAATAATAAATTATAAATAAATAAAGATTACATGACCACTATCACTCCCCCCTCCCCAATCTGTCAGAGTTGCGTTGGTCCACAACAAATACGTGCAAATGTGTCATTTTTTTAACGGCTACAAAAAAATGAATTAAAATCAAAACTGGACAGACGTCAATTGAGTGGTTTTGCAAAAAGAAAGTTAAAGAAAGACAAGGACGCTAGACGTAGCTACAATTCACAATGTTCCAGGTATCGAAAGATTTTTTGTGAGAACATCACGGGAATTGCGATCACTAGCAGCGCTGAGTCTGACGAAGCCGGAGCTAACTGTGGAGACGGTAACAAAGAAATGGACTTTGGGGATGTAGTTGACACCTTTGCTTGCGCAAACTCAAGGAAGGAGCAGTTCTGCTAAACTTAATACATGAAAACGTTTTACCAGATTTAGTGCTACACTTATTGTCTCTTATTTGTTCCTCACTAAATAATGTTTTTTTTTTTCACTAAATGTTCGATTTTATACAATTATTGTGCACTTGTGATTTTTCAAGACTAAATTTTACTGCTGAGTTACCCACTAATCTAGTTTATATAATAGAATTTTTGTCATAGGTTATGATCATATATTTTTTTTTTATTTGTTGTTTTTCTTTATAATGAAGTTGTCTGTATTAAGTAGATTGTGTTTAACAGAAAATAGTGATTATCAGTTCAACACACAGAGTTATAGAAATTCTACTTGATTTTTTTTTTTTTTTAACTGCGCTGGTATCGGATCGGTATAATTCAATACTCAGAATTTTTGGTATCGGATTGGATCGGTTCAGAAGAAATGGTATCGGGACATCCCTAATATTTTCTGGTAGGCTATATCTAAGTTACCCAGGAGCTCTGTTGACATAGGCTTTGCTAACGTTAGCTACAGCTTGATGAATTGAGTTGAACACAGCAGGAGAGAACGCAACATTAGCCAGCTAGCTAAAGCTCTGGTGGGAAATTATTAGCTAACGCTACGGAGGCCATAATATTTTTGACTCATGGCTGAAGTTAAGTTTCTCCAACTCTCCCCAGGTTGGCAAAAAAAATGCATCTCAAAATGCATCAGATTGATGCTATAAAATATGGAATATTTAAAAAAAATCTTCCGGGGGGGCATGCCCCCGGACCCCCCTAGAGGGGTAATATCCTTCTCACCTTTTTCACCCCTGACCCCTTTTCATGCCTGTAGAGGTAAGAAACCTGATAGATTTATTATTATTTTTGGGCAAACGTGAATTGACGCTGTCAATTAATTTATGTACATTTTTAATTGACACATTTGAATATAGGGGGCCTTTTGAGGTATAGTGCCCAGGGGCACCACACTGTCTTAATACGGCCCTGGATATACTGTATTGCCAGCAGTCTGAAATGACAAAGGAAATCGCCATTAAAGCACTGGTATCTTACAACAAAATAATTCGCGTGGGGTGGGGATGGATGTCCCCACCAAAGCTGAGACCAAACCTACGCCCATGGCATGCATACTATATTATACAGTGTATTATTTGTGCACAAACATGTCCATGTCAGTATCTGTGTTTAGTCTGCCATGTATAATGGCTATTTGATGTATTTATTTGATGTTTGCTTGTAGAGATACTATGCAGTCACACCATTTTTAAAAGAGTCAAAATAGTTTTGAATGAAGTGTTTGCTTTTGCAAGAGATGTGTGAAGTTTTGCTTGTAATGTGTGTTTTTTATGTTTATTTTATAGAATGGAGCCTGTATACATTCAGGAGGAAACCTGAAGGAAGTCTTAATATGTGTGACTCTTTGGTTGCTCTATGGGTGAAGGAAGAGAACAAAAAGAAACCCTGGTCTCGGGCTCTCTCCCTAGAAAAGGTTTTGGAAACTGCAAAGCGAGCTGTAGTCCACCAAGGTGAAGACCCAGGCAGAAAATCGCACATTCTTGGCCAACATACAATGCATTTTGGGGTCTTCAAAGGTCAGACCTTTAAGTGGGTTGCAGAAAATGCTCTGGGATATGCTGGGTATCTGGTGGCAAGCATGAGGAGGGAATCAACTGAAGTGAAAGACTCAAAAAACAACTAAGCGGCCTTTGCGGACTACATTGGGCTTTTCCCAGAGGGTCGTGAGGCCATCCGTATTAAGGCAGAAAATATGGATTCCACAGGCTCCCGGCAGATGTCTTCCAGTGCCCCACAGTCCTGATCCACAGGCTCCTGCCAGAAGTCTTCCAGTGCCCCACAGTCCATACCTTCCGTCTCATCGGTCTGCTCTCTTCTGATTGGCAAATCACGAAATCCACAAAGCCTTGACAAAGCCGTCAATTTTTTTTAACATCACCTGTAGCCCAACCAGGTAAGCAGTTTTGAGAAATATGTTGTTTTTCCTTAATCTGTCAGTACATACAGTGTTTATTAGTATAGAGTAAAGTGCATTCAAATTTGCATAGTTTTATGAAACATAAAACTTCCTTATGTTCTGCAAGCTTCCATTTATTTGGTTTAAAAATACAGTGAAAACAGTACTAAAATTGTGAAATATTTTTTTACAATTAAAAATAACTGTTTCTATTAATATAAATGTATTTATATTATAAATTAAAGTGATTATTATTACAAAGTGCAGAAAAATTGTGGGCTATGTGTAATTTGTTGTATCTGTATTCTTCAGCTTTAATTGGAAGATCTACAAAGAGATCTCAACCAACTGTGCCTGTGGAATCTACAAGCCTCATTTGCATCATCTGAGCAGGGTGACCATGAGCTGGTTGAACAGGCAGACTTGATGGAATCGCAAGTGTCCAGTAAGTCCCTGAGCATCTGAAATATATTTTGTTTTATTTTGTAATGTCACGTATTAAAAGTTTATGGGGGGCGTTCTGTTCATTTTGCAAAGTGCACACTGTTGCTATAGCAAGTCCAGCCTTGACGGTTAGAGGAAGGAAAAGAATTGCTAATCAGACACTGCCAACTTTTGTCGACCTGTTGAGTCCATGTAGAACACCCCCCCCCCCCTCTTATAGGCCAGCCACATGTTTCTCTATATAACCAATTTATCTATTCTACATTGCTTTTTTAATATCTCCATATTAATCAGGCAAGCTAATAAAAAGATGAATTTTAATATCAAAAGCAACACTCTTCTTAATCACTCATAACATTCAATATATTCAGACTCATAACCAAATGTATTGTTTTACATTATTATTATATTTTATACATAAATAAATGTTGTCACTTAAAATAATAAAATATAATAAAAATCCAGAACACAAATCAACACACAAGCACAAATTCTTTTATTTTTAAAATAAGTCCTTCCAAACCGTTTCATAGACAGAATAAATATACAACATAATTTATTTGTAATATTTGGATTATTTATGTAAAATATTTTGTAGCAATTACATGCAACTTATTTTTTAAGTTACGTGTGCCGATGCACAATGCATGAAGTCTATGGGGAAAAGAGACAGCTGGAATTAATAATATATGGGTATAATATAATATAATGGATATATAAATGGAGTTTACACAAATCATATTTCATTTTTAACAAACAAACACATGAATGCTGTATACAGGTTGTATTATTGTGCATTTGATGCATAACATACAAACTGTATTGATTACGAAATCAACTTTCTGGTTGAGAAAAAAAAAAAAACCTTTCTGGTTGAGAGTAAGAGTGATTAAACTGGTTGCCCGGCAGAGGGAGACAACTCATCACGAAAGCATAGACTTCTAGCCTGTGAACATTCAGATTACCCGTCGTAATCAGACAAAACCCCTTTTTTATCATATTATAAATAATAGTGTTTAAGAGGGTGATTTTATTTTTAAATAAAGGATGGGTTTGACACAACTATGATTATGCAGTACAGTGTTGTTGTGGGCATGAACAACATTAAAACAGTGAATAACATTAGCAGGTAAAAACGAAAACGACTTTGTTCAAGCCGTTTAAAAAAAACTTCCATGACCAATCACAGTCAACGCCAACAAATAATTAGAAACGATTATTAGCCAATCAGAAGGGTTGTCACTAGCGCCTACTTTTTTCTTGTATCAGCCTCGTTGGCGCAGTAGGCAGCGCGTCAGTCTCATAATCTGAAGGTCGTGAGTTCGAGCCTCACACGGGGCAGTTAGTGTTTTTGTCATGATATATATAAGATTGATATATATATGCCGAGTTGATATATATAAGATTGTAAATATAAACACTGATTATATTTGGCCATTTCAATAATGAGAGTAGATCATGCAAGGAAACTTTGGTAATATTATACAATATAAAATACAGACTTTTTATTATTATTTTATAAGTAATAATGTTTATATATTGTTTTGCCTTATCTCTTACACACACACACTGGTTTGTTTTTCCCCCCAGTGTTTTAAGTACTTTATGCTTTTCAAATATTGTAAATTCTGACAGTAGACTAAATAACGTTAGACTGAGAGAGAGAGAGAGAGAGAGAGAGAGAGAGAGAGAGAGAGAGAGAGAGAGAGAGAGAGAGAGAGAGAGAGAGAGAGAGAGATTTCTGAATGATTCCACATGCTGAATGAATTCAGTGACACTTTCTGTGAACGGGACGCAGGGGCGCTTGTTTTCCCGTCTCGGTTTGGGAAGGAAGGACTCAGCCAGCCGGTGCAGCATGTGAAAGTCCAACACGGGCGACTTTCTCCTCTTTTCTTTTAACACATTTGGCAGCCAGTTTCTGATCAGAGATAAGCAATTCCACCGCACTGATTACTCCACTGAAATGCCGTCATGTCACGCGTGAATGTCAGCTGGATTATTGCGGTGCTCGCGGTGGAGCTCGCGACACTGTCCGCCGCGGGCGCTCACAGCTGTCACGAGGTGAAAACGGCGTTTCAGGTGCGTCAGATCGGCCAGCTGAAATGGGTGCCGGAAACACCTGCTACAGGTGAGTGTGAACGCAACGGGCTGTCGTTTGTCATGACTGTGACGAAACTGTCACAGTTTTGGATGAACTGTTATGGATTTTCGTGTTATGGATGTGTTATGGATGTTCCTGCTTTGAATTTTACATGGTAAAGAGTTGCCGCCGAAAATATCAGTTAGCCTATCTGCTTGTCTTGTAAAATCATAGGTAGCCTCTAGCCTACATGATTTTCCTCAGATTTAGAAACTCTTTGAATCTTTATGTCATTGTGTTTATTTATTTAGCCTACTTGCTTTGACTAGTGTTTTTGAAGCAACAGTATCTGTGATTAATTAGCCTAGGTATTTTGGCAGAAATAGATTACTGGATGTGTAATTACTATGGTAAATATTTGTATTGTGGTGAGCAACCAGGTGCTGTGGTTGCTATATTGACTCTTTGAATTCCTAGTGTGCTCTATAGATGAAGGGCATTCTTTAGGTATCCTTTGACCCTGACAACCACAAATATTTTTTTTTGCATGGGAAATTCTGCAATTGTGCAGAAGGTGTGCAGATCGAATTGCACAAAACAAGTGCAATTTGACCACAATGAACTTTAAAGGTAGTACCTAAAGGTTGTGTCTCAATCAGCATTTGTTGCATGCACTACTCATCCGTTTCTAGTGCTGTCAAATCGGTTCCTGAGTTACTGAAATATTTCCATGCTAAAAATTCCCACAGTGCCCTGCTAAAAACCATCAGCTGCTCACTGTATTTACTTACTAGAAATGTTATCATGTCTCTGCATGTTTCATGGTGTCTCTGAACTTTTAACAGCTCACATGAAGTTGCATGATAAAAAAACCCCCCATACTTAATGCATATTTATTGAGTATTAAAATGCATGGCATGATTAGATGTGATTTCTGAATAGAATATTCATGTAGAGTCAAGTTTTTCAAATATATTATATAATCAATATATTCATCAGCCTTATTACTGGAATTTAAGTGTAATGTTTTCTTTCTTCATTTTGTTGCTCCTGACAGGAAAATGTAATTTCCATTTAATAGGTTTTACAAGTTCATTGACTGATTTTTCCACCCACAAAGTCAATGTTAATGCCCAAGTGTGCTAAGGCTCTCGACTCTGCTCTGTAAATAATATGTCTTGGTAAACTTCAGACAAGGATCGTGTCAGGTTAAGGGAATCAGTGTTGACAGATGCATTCAGCCAGCTGCTTTGACACATGACTCAGCGAACAGGAGTGAGCCTTGCTGGAATGACATCGGTCGAGCTCACCGGTTACAAATACTCAGGGCCAAAGTTCTCACGGTGCACGAACTCACAGCCAAGTCCGGTTCTCCAATGACAGGGATGCCCATCCTGCTCCTAGAGATCAACCTACCTGCATAGTGCATAGTGTAGAAATCAAATACTAATCATACACACTTGAACCAGGTGGTCGAGGTCTAAAGGGTCACTTGAAAAGGTGGCTGCTAAAATAGAAGCCTTGATATCTTGTCAGTAATTTCCTTGACAGTAGGTCTATCTGTCAGTCATTCTATCATTCATTTTCTCCATCCATCCGTCCGTCCATCCATCCGTCCTTCCATCTCTCCATCCATCTCTCCATCCACTTATCAATCTCAACTTTTTCACAGACTCGGGGTCCAATTTTTAAAACACCCAACATATAACACAACAACAATAAATAAAAAAAAACAAAGCGTTACAAAAATACACAAGTACCAGTGTTTCCACAATTTAAACTATGTATAGTTGCTAAACCTTATATTTAATAGACCCATGATAATTTAATTTTTAGAAGCATTAAGTCAGCAAATAAATTTGTACATAAGATTCCGTAACACAGCTTTATATGTGTTAACTCACACGCTTACAAACATCTCACTTGCACTATGCCATCTAAGTCTCCTTAATAAAATTCTCATTGCATCATTGTACAGTACTTGAAGCCTCCGTAAGCTAGATGTTCTATAATTTGTCCATAAATGGGCAGTATAAAGATGTGTACAATATGCTTTAAACAGTGATGTCCTTACATTTATCTATCCTTCCGTCTATTGTTGTAATTTTATTATTCTGTTCATCTATCGCTCTGTCTTTTATCGCTTTGTCTGTCTTTTTCCTCCAACTTTCAAATAACCTTTAAGATTTGTCATTAAAAACGTATATTTTCCTTTTGATTTAAAAATGTTTTTTTTTTTTTTAATTTCAGTCAGTTTGAATTCAGCCAATGTGTTGGAGCACCTACTGTACTGGCAAAGTGAGTTGTGAAACTATAACACCTTTCAGTCAAGGTGTGTGTAACACCTATTCTTTGACTGAGACAGATATATATATCAAGTTGAGTTGCACATTCTACCTCTTGGAGTCCAGGGGCCGGTTGCACCAGCTGTGCGTAAGTTACAACTTAGCCTAGTTTTGACGCAAATGGGCACTAAGTTACAACTTACGCACTACTAAATATTTTTATGTTCCACTATTAAACTTAGTTTAAACGTAACTCTACGTTCCAACTAAATATTTACGGCAGCCTCCGATCGGGAGTAACGGTTGGAATAAAATATCAGACAGACTGAACTGCATCAATAAGCTCTTCTTTTACCTGACAGACTTCAATTCTTTAGACATATATGATAATGCTGACATTTACACTCGCTTACATTTTAAGAGAGAGAACATTATGTGAAAAGATTACTTTGTTAGCAGCTCTTTAACACGAAACCGTCCTAAACAGCGCCGCTGTGTGCATCGGTCCATGTTGTGCATGTCAATCAAATATCAGTCATAATCAATAAACGTAATTTCTTGTTTTTTGTATCAATATTTATTTATTGATCCTTATTAATTACATTTCAAATAAAGTTTCTGAATGTTATTTATATATAAAAACACTTATGTTATTCATGATCAAGTATCGTATTAAATGGAAACTTATTTTTACCCTTAGTAACGTGAGGCAAAAGAAGTTAGAATGAAGGATAAACTGACAATCACGGCATTTCAACAACTTCTGCTCACGTATTTGAAGGCTGCTATTGGTTCATCGAGGCTAAACGTCATATTATGCGACTATACGCATTACTTTACGGAGAGTTTACGACCTACTAGCTACGTTCTACCTTACGAACAAATGGTGCAACGGAATAAAGTACAGAGTTAGTTACAAACTAGCTAGTAGTTACTAAGCCTCTAGTGTGGACTTTACGTTACAATTTAAGAAAGAACTTACGAACGGCTGGTGCAACCCTACCCTGAAGAGCAACATATGGCAAGTTTTCCAAGATGGTGTTGATTAGGGTTAGCTAAAAGTTGAATGCCAAGATTAAAAAAATAAGCACTTAATTACATTATATTACATTTTAAAATACTCGTAATCAGATACAGTTAATTTTTTATTTATTACATGTTTACATGTTGTGCTCACAATGGCAGTAAATTATTTATAAATAATTTTTTCCCTTCTCTTTATCTTTAAAAATGTCCTTTATAAAAAGCCTACTGCTTATATACGTTCAGAAGGTCTTCCAGGTTTGTTGAACTGCACAATCAGACCAGCCACTTAGTCATGAGCATTTGATCACTGGATTTACAGAAATCATTTCACCTGTAAGAAGTGTTTCCTAAACATTGCAACAATGCATAATCAACTACTGGGAAACCCTGACGTAAAATATTATTTAATGCACTTCATGTTGTTGCTATCAAAGAATGGAATATATATTCTTTCTCTTTGTATTTTTATATCAATAGGGTACAAGATTATCCTATTCAAATCAATAGAATGAACAAGTTGGGTTAGAAGTAATCTTATTATAATTACCTTAAATGTGCAATGTGATGCATTTATGTTAACTATAATTTTTGTCATGTAATTTGGAATCTGTAACTGATTACAATTTGTAAGTAATCTACCCAGCACTGGTGATGAGCTATAGCCCCCTTTAGGTAAGGTCTAGATGTGCAGAAGAATTTGAGACTTTTTGTACAAGAGTCTTAATGAGTCTGGTCTGTCAGTAGACAACTTTTTCTCTGGTACAATTTCTCCTGTTTATTTGACTGAAAGCTGATTTGTAGACTTAGCATAGAAATCGTTCCCTTTGGGAGCCAAGACCATACCACAGCAAAACCATAATTACAATATATCTCAGGTTAGCGCTTTTGCCTTCCTCCTAAGATCATTAAAGTCTTTATTTCCTTTTTGCGGTCCACAAAATAAAAGTTTAAAGTGAGCCAAATGATTAAATAAGTTCTAAATGGCTTTTGTTGCAGATAGACTGGAATTCTCATTTTCTGAGTGAGTTTCTCCTGAGCAATAGCCTGGGAAAGCCCAGACAACTTCCGGCAAATTTAGATTTGCTCTGAAATTTAGTCTGGCAAAGAGCTCATTCAAGCTCATTTCCAATCCGTCGAAATCGAGGCACCAATCAGAAACGTTGGGGCGGGCTTTACACGATGACGACAGCGCTGGGATTTTGAAGAGATTTTGTAGCCTACGTTACAAAGATGGATGCCGCCGTCGAACATCACTTGTTCGAATCAGCTATCGCGTCTGTTTTAAGCGTTTTGAACGTTTCCTTTTTGTTAAAAACCGAGCAAAGAACAACACAAGGAGATGTTTCTCCGCCGCTCTGCATACGTCATCTCCTTCATCGCTCTGATTGGTTTTAGGTCTATCCGCGACGTCCGTTGGTGACGCCCCTCTGGAAATGATTTGTCTATGACGCTTTGCCAGACCATAACTCAGTTACAACTGAGAATGGTCTGGTTTTAACCAGGCTACCAGAGTCTTAGAACGTAGAACTCTCAGATGAAGCTTTGTGCTGCCAATAAATGAACATTGATATTGTTGAATAGTTCATACAAAAAGGAAAATGCTGTCATCATTTACTTAACCTCATGTCAAGTCAAATCACATTTATTTATATAGCGCTTTTTACAATACAGATTGTTTCAAAGCAGCTTTACAGAGATAACAGGAAAATAATGCAACAAAGTTTGTTTCCAGAAGAA